AGTTCTGAAAAGATGATAATGCTTACTTCTGTTGTTGTGGTTGTTATTAGCTGCCGTCAAGTCCAGCCCGACTCATGGCGACCCCATGCACGATAGAACAAAAAGCTGCCCAGTCCTGCATCAATCTCATGATCAGCTGCAGACTGAACTGTTGTGATCCACAGGATTTTCACTGGCTGATTTTTGGAAGTAGACTGTCAGGCCTTTCTTCCTAGTCCATCTTAGTCCGGAAGCTCCACTGAAACCTGTTCAGCATCATGCAATATGCGAGCCTACACTGACAGATGGTGGCTGTGCATGAGGTGCAGTGGCTAAGAATCAATCCAGGTTGCCCACCCGGGTTGCTCCATGGAAAGCAAGAATTCTATCACTGAACCACCAATGCCCTATATGCTTACTTCTACTACCCCCCACCAAAAAAAAGTATAACATTAAACTAGGTTGTCAGATTACAAAAGTATAAAATAATACTTAGTCAACAGCCATTCAAAATGATATAGTAGCAGTTATTTATTGATATAAAAGATTCACAAGTGAAAAACCTGGTCTATGTACAGTAGGGATTCATTTGTATATTTTAAAATATATATAAACAATATTGCAACAGAAAAAATAGGAAATTATATCACAAAATACTAACAATAGTTATCTCTAAAGGTATGATTATGAGTGTTTTTTATTTCTTCATTTTCTTATGAGTATTTTGTGATTTCTCTCCAGTTCCAGTTGCCATCAAGTCAATTCCAACTCAAGGCAACCCCATGTGTGCAGAGTAGGATGGCACTCCATAGAGTTTTCAGTGGCTGTGCCCCTTCGGAAGCAGATCACCAAGTCTGTCTTTGAGGCCTCTCTGGGTGGGTTCAAACAGTTGACCTTTAGGTTAGCAGTCAAGTGCTTAACCTAGAGATTTCTCTAACACGTACTATTTTTACACTAAAAATGGGAGGTAAAAATAATTTTAAAGTATTATTTAAACTTAAGTTTTTATTTTCTCTGTCATCATTATATTCTTGGTAAACCTTAGAAAACAGGCTGAGCCATATATCAATACCTGGTAATACAAGACCTCCCTTAAAAATAACGCCTATTCTAGTATCACCTTTCTTATAGTTTTATCAGTTATACACAAGGAATTCTGAAGCAGGATTTCTGGATCTAGATTACCAGGATTCAAATATCAGCTATACCACTTATTGGCTACACGATACTGAGTCATTCCTTTAACCTCTGTTATGGATTAAATTGTATTCCACCAAAACAGGTGTTCGAATGCTAACTTCTATACCTGTAGATGTAATCCTGTTTGGAAACAGGGTTTCTTTATTATGCTAATTAGATCATACCTGAGTAAGGTGGGTTCTAAATCTAATCACTTCTGAGTTACAAAAAGAACATATCAGACACAGAGAAATGTACACACAGTGGCAAACAGATGTCATGTGAAGACTGCCAAGGAAACTAGGAATGCCCAGAGCTATGGACAAATAAGAAATCAACACTACTGAGACTCTGATTTGGACTTTTAACCTCTAGAACTCTGAGAAAATAAATTTCTGTTCTCTAAAGCCACCCACTTGTTGTATTTCTGTTACAGCAGCACCAGGTAATTAAGACACTATCTGTACCAGTTTCCTCATCTATAAAATGAGGTTCCTGCTAGTTACTGAACTGAGTTAATTATTTAAAGCACTTAGTGCCTGGCATATAGTAAGCACTCAGCAAGCTATTATTTTATTATTATTACTATTAATTTTTTTTACAAGTGAGGATGCTGAAGTACTAAAACCAAAAACCATTCCTGTCCAGTTGATTACAACTCATGGTGACCCCATGTGTTACAGAGTAGAACCACTTCATAGGGTTTTCTTGGCTATAACCTTTACAGAAACAGATTGCCAGGCCTTTCTTCCATGCCGCCAGTAGGGGGCAATTCAAACCACCAACCTTTAGGTTAGTAGTCAAGCAGTCGAGTAGTAAACAGTTTGTGCCAGCCAGGGCCCAAGTACTAAAATCAGTTAAATCATTTACCTAAAAACAAAGACAGTAGGTATTGTCTGTTTGTGGATTTTTTTTTTTTTTGCAAGCAAGGTTGTGTCATGTACATATCGCAGGTTGTTAATGAGTCTTCCACCAATCCTGATGCTGCATTCTTCTTCATAAAGTCCAGCTTCTCAGATTGTTCCATGGCTCACAACCTCCTAATAAGGAGTTACTGGTTGGTGCAAACTCTTAGAACACTCATGGCTGCTAACTAAATGTTGGAGGTTCAAGTCCACCCAGAGGTTCCTCGGAAGAAAGCCCTGGTGATCTACTTCCAAAAAATCAGCCACTGAAAACCCTATGGAGCACAATTCTACTCTGACACACATGGAGTCGCCATGAGTAGGAATCGACTTAATGGCAACCAGTTTTAATACACATATAATTTACTGATGTTTAGTGTTTATGGTCGCTTACTAGAACATAAGCTCCACTAAGGCAGGAATTTTTGTCTGTTTTACTCATTAATGATGCCCAGTGCCTAGATCAGTGCCTGGCACAACGAATAATTTTTCAATTCTTTCCTTCTATCTTACAGCCCTCATGAGTCATGGATCATCACCTTCTGAACCCTATCTCACATTGCCCTCACTTCCTCTCCCCGGTCCACTTATACTAGCCTTCTAAGCAGGCTTCTAAGAACTGGAGGAAAATATTTTTATTTAACTCTTAAACTGTAATTCTTCTTTTCTCTGCTCATCTTTTAGTACAGAAATAGTATTCAGGAAACTATACCAAATAACAAACAGATAAAATAATCAAAACTTTCCTCTTTCACTTCTAGTAGTGATCTATGTGGTCTTAACTTTAGATTTTAAACTACTGGTGGACAAAGACTATATCTAAAAATGTCTGATAAACTTTTTTGTATTGTGTAGCACATGGGCTAAATATGTTGGGAATATTCTAACTGCTATATGTGACCTGACTGAAAAATTGTGCTTCAAAGAGTGCAAACCCTCTAATGTGCTATACAGTCAGTTATGGCAAGATTTTTCTTACATAGCTAATGTGCTTCAGGAAAAAGGGAACTTATCCACGGGACTTCTAAATCTATTCAACACTGAGCCATGTTAAAATAGGAACCTATTGTATTTGTATTCAGAAAATAGCTCCAGGACCTTCTCCACCCCCTAGTTTCAGCCAAATATGGCTCTTCCCAGCTTGGACCAATTTAGCTTATGAGTTCCACGAGATCCAAGCCCACCAACAGCAGTCACCGACATCATTTACATTACTATTTCCAAAATAGTTTTTTAAATCTTCAAAAAAAATCAAACATCAGCAACATAAAATTATACTCAAGCTTCAAGCTGAGATGCCTGTATATGCTGATTCAAACTAAAACTGGAAACAAAGACTTCTTTAAAGTCACTCTGGCCTCTCATCTAGCACTACTTCAATCTGACAAACTCAAAATCAACTTTTAGGATGAGCCTAACAAAGGGGTTTCATAAGATCAAACACATCAGGCAGGTTAACATCAGCCAGGTGTCCTGCGCTTATTAGAAATATTGGCAAGTCCTGGTGGTCAGCCTTCTGTAACCACTCAGTTTTGCTTACATGCACTAAAAAGAACATTCTTATGTGTGAAAATTAGGGTGGGTTAAAGTGTCAAAATTCAAATGCCAATTTGATAATTAATATATTAAGGGATGTGGGGGGAAAAAAGAAATCGGAACAGAAAGTAATTTTTAAATGCTATTTTCTCCACGACTCTAAAGGACAGTATGGAGTGGCTTTCAACCTCCAGTTTTTAATGAGTTTTCTAAGTGAAACGAAGCTGTCGAAAGAGGAATTCCTCAGGGTGTAATCCCTTGTTTTAGGATGACTGGAAGCTTGTCCTTTGCCTAACCCCATCTGACCATCCCATCTTACTGCCCTACCCCTCTCAAATTCCTCTGGAATAAACAATAAGTAAGTGAAATAATGACAAGCAGTAAATGTGACGCTAAACTTAGCATTTACAAATGACTTGCAGAACAACTCCCCAGTGGACCTAATCAACCTAGGGCACAGTACCCAGACCGTATTTGGTGGTTGTCTAAACAGATAAAAGCCCGTACAACTTCAAGGAAGCACTCTGGGAGAAGGGGCCCCTAGCGAAAGCAAGAAGCTGCTCCAGATCCTTGCCCCCAAGACCCAAGCTGCCATCAGGGGATTCTGAGCAGCAAGCAGCCTCCTTTCGGTGTTACATCCACAGGACTCGTCACCCCAGCTTCGCATCTCTAAGAACCAAACCCAAACCCACAGCCGTTCAGTCGATTCTGACTCCTAGCGACCCTATACGACAGAGTAGAACTGCCCCATAGGGTTTCTAAGGCTGTATGTATTCTTTAAGGAAGCTGACTGCCGTATCTTTTTCTCCCGCGGAGCAGCTGGTGGGTTGAACCGCCGACCTTTTGGTCAGTAGCGGAGCGCTTAACCACTACGCCACAAGGGCTCCTTTAGACCTTAGAGGGAAGTTAAAAGGGTCCTGGAGTGACAGGGAAAGTACGAAGCTTTATCGCAGTGCACGACAACCAGAAAAAAATGGGCAGCCTGGACGGGGACAGCGGACTGGCACGCGTTGGATAAGGGTCTTGCCGGAGAGTGGGAGGTATCTATGAAGAGCGCGCGTACAAACGGGATAATAACGAAGGGAAAGGTTGGTGTGATGGAGAAACCCGGGTGCAGGCACCCGCGTGAATCTGGACCCTGGGGTTCGGGGAGGAAAGCCTCGTTAGGGGCTGGAGGGGTCCACGCGCGCTCGAAGAGGGCCGGGGAGGAGGTGGCGGTCAGGCAACGCCAGCGTTCCAGGCAGGTTCCCGGAGACCTGCTCGGGGGGAACGCCTGCCCGGGCAGCGCCGAGCGAGGGGGTCCGCATCGGGCCAGGCCAGACCAAGGGCGGGCAGCGGGCGCGGGGCCGGCGTCCCAGGTCGCGCCCGAACAAAGCCGGGTCTCGGGGCCTGGCTACTCACAACAAGAAGCTCATATCGGCCGCGGCGTAGGCTGCGGGCTCAACGGTCGCAGGGCCTCGGGGCGGCAGCGGCAGCGGCGGCGGCCAGGGAGGATGAGGGCAGGCGGGAGGGAGAAGGAGGTGGGGTGCGTCGACTGTTCCTCAGCAGCAACTTGTTCGGCTTTACTAGCTAGTTCCAATGGCAGGCAGAGGGGGCGGAAGTGGGAAGCGCAAGGCTTGAATCACCCAGTGGGAGGAGAAGGAAAAGGAGGCGGGGAGAAGGAAAGGGAGGCGGGGAAAGGGCAGCCAGCCAGCTCTTCAGAGAACGCGGCGGCTACTGCCTCGCCGCTCCCCCAACCATCCCCGGTGGCCTCCTCAGCCCGGTGCCACCTCTGATTCCTCCAGCTCTCGCGAGAGCGGCGCTCGCCCAACCCCCTCTGGCTGTGGCCTGGGGTCCCCTCACGTTCTGCTCACGTTTGCAGCCAGAGACCACGCTCGGCGTGTGCGCAAGGATCCCGGACCCACTGAGGCCTGTCTTGCCCGGTTGGGAGTCGCGGCAGAACGCTCCGGGCTGCTGTGCTGGGTTTCAGCGGTCTGGGAGGAAGTGGGCTTCAACTCGAGGATGTTAGGGCCCAGCAGTGAGGGATGCAATTGCCACCAGAGTTCTGCCCACGGTTAGTGCCCAGCAAATGACGATGAAAGGTTATGGAATCCCTTTCTCTGCTAGTATTTAAAAACAGTTTCATCTGGTTGGAATGGTTTGGGTGTGGTTCTGCCACAGGAGAGGCAAGAGACTACATTTTCAACATCTTGATCGTTTTGTGGGTATATTTTAAAACCCTGAACTAGGAGGAGGTCAACATCCATCAGCATTGTCTGAACAAGCAAGCTAGATTGTCTTCAGCAGCTGGGAAAACTGAAGACGCCAAGGGGGAGAGCTGAGGTCAGCTCATCATGGGTCCCAGCGTGGTAGGCTGATCAGCAGTGGCAATAATGATTAAGCATGTGTGGGCTGAGGTCAATTATAACCGCTGTGCACTGACACACAAAACATTTTAGAGGCCAGAAAGCATTCAGTCCCCCTTAAAGAGAGCCTTTCAGTCTCACACAGTAAACGGGCATGGGGCAAATCTTTATGTATTTAAGAATGGTCCACATTCCTTGAATGTGTCACAACAGCATTATCAATTGCTGGGAAAATATGTTGTTGTTAGCCATTGAGTGGCTTCCGTCTCATAGCGACCCTATGTACAACAGAACGAAACACTGCACTGTCCTGTGTCATCCTCAAAATCGTTATGCTTGAGCCCTTTGTTGCAGTCACTGTCAATCCTTCTTATTGAAGATCTTCCTCATTTTCACTGACCCTTACGAAGCATGATGTCCTTCTCCAGGGACTGATCCCTCCTGATAACATGTCCAACGTATGTAAGGCTAGTCTCACCATCCTTGCTTCTAAGGAACATTCTGACTGTACTTCTTCCAAGACAGATTTTTTTTGGGGGGTGGGGTGGAGTATGGGTACCCATTTATTTTACAAGAAGTTTATTTACAAGAAATGTCCATGTTCTTTACTCACATCATCATCAAATCTACAAATAGGTTTTCAAAGAAGCAGAACAAAAATTAATGTGGTAGGACAGTGGTTAAGAGCTACAGTGAGCTATGGTTGCTAACCAGAAGGTCGCAGTTGAAATCCACCAGCTGCTCCTTGGAAACCCTATGGGGCAGTTCTACCTGTCCTATAGGGTCGCTATGAGTCGCAATGGTTTTTGGCATATCATTCCAAAGGGCATAGCAGATTTCAAGGGGGTGCAAATATGAAATTTATTTGATTGAATTTCCCAGCCAATCCACCTCATGTGCAGCCACCGCCCATTTGTCAATGGACACATGCATGTTGCTGTGATGCTAAACAGATTTCAGCAGAGCTTCCAAATTAAGATGGACCAGGAAGAAAGGCATTGCTATCTAGTTCCCAAAATCGACCAATGAAAACCCTGTGGATCGCAATGGTCAGATCCCCAAATGATCGTGCGGTTGCCACAGGACAGAGCAGTGTATCCTTCCACTGTGCATGTGGTCCCCATGAGTAAGGGGTTGACTCCAGGCGGCTAACAACTTCATGCATTATTAGCTTGGCATTTGGTAAAGCAAGCCATAAAAAAAATAAAAAATAAGGAAAATATTGGGATCTTGACACTTACCCAAAGACCAGCAGAGGTAACTGGAATAATTTGGGAAGACTTCAAGACTCAAAAGATGCAGAAAAGGAGGGAAGACAGAAGGATTTATCTTAATATAATGAACATAATGGATTTATGACATAAAAGCCCTGTGTTCCAGATCCTGATATGATACTAGCATACTATCTAATTCCTTATGGGTCTTTTGAAGATAAGACTTGAATTACCAGGTTCGGGAATTATTTGGGAAGAGTAAGTCAATCTGTCAGAACCTCCATTCTACCTCCTTTAAAATTAAAATGAGGGCATCAGATTATTACATGATCTGTAAAATATCTTTAAAGTTCTAAAATTCTGTCATGTCAGGGGCATTCTTCAAATGACTGGCACATAATGCCCAACCGTTCCCTGATTTGGTACGCCGGCTTAAGTAACCTAATTTTTTCTCTGACACGGTTTAGGTGAATCCTATGACAGTGAATCAGGAGAAAGGTTGGCAGAGGAGAGAATCTGCAAAAACACCTGCTAAGGAGAGTTGCCTGGATTTAACAGCTGACATATGTATACATACATTCTCCCTCTCTGCCAAGGTTAAGATTCCTACCACCTTAAAGAAGATGATTCATAGTACTTTTTTTCAGAGAAGTTAATCACTTCCAAGGTGCTAATTAATATGTCACCTTTCCTGAATGAAATAATACTAGTTCTAGCCAGTAGATAGGGGAAATTTCTCCTTATAGAAGTATTTCAGATTAAAAACTGAAGTAGGAATGATTGAATTATTATTTAGACTATTAACATTTTTGTAACCGCTAACAGATTAATGGATCTAGGCATTGATCATCAACAGTTACTAATATCATAATAAGAAAGCCAGACTTTTTTTTTTTTTTAATATTTTATTGTACTTCAGGTGAAGGCTTACAGAACAGATAGTTTCTCATGTAACAGTAAC